GGATCTCCTGGTTCCATTTAATGCAGAACTTGTGTGCTTCTCCGCTGCACTTGGGATTTGAACTGGCATCCCTCCACTTACAAACCTGGTTCTTCCTTACATAGAAGGCATGAAGCCTACAGATGGTTCTTCAAGAGTTCTTTGGTAAAGACAGTGGTTCTGTATAGAACCATGAACACTCAAAAAACCATTTGCATGCTTAAATATTTAAAAATTCTTTGCATGGTGAAATCATTCTTCAGATTGATGGAGAATGCATTCTAGGCTGTTTTATTTAGAACCTTTTTCAAATTTGCTCTGTATAGTGCCAAAAAAGGAAAACTTGCTGTCAGCTGAATAGGCGTATACAGCATTGTTTGTACTTTTTTTTTGTTTGTTTTTTTTTCATGAAAACAGTGAATTCATAACGGGCCTTTTTTGCAGCTTATTTTACATATACGGATGTGTGGACTGAGGAATGAATGGTACGTTTTGAAACTACATTACATTAAAATACATTTTATTTTAGCTTTCCTTTAAACAAAACTGTAAGAAGAGATACAAGTACAAGAGTGAGTGGTAGAAGTGTAGCTCAGTGGAGTTGGCAATAATGATGTGAAACAGCTGTAAGATGCCATGCCTGGCCTGGTGTGTGTAGAGAGCAGAAGGGCCAGGAGCAGCATGCAGGCTTACCTCAGCTAATTAACTCCCCCTACGCCCCTCTCATTAAGGTGAGCAGGGCAAAAGTGTCAGCTTCTTTTTCAGCATCTGCTGTCCATCATGGCAGTTTTTTGGAAAGCATGGTCAGCTTGTAACCCAGCCTTCATATTTGGATGCTGTGTGTTAATCCTAGTTGAGGGTACTTCAGTGGCTCTTGACCTGCAACCAAAAGCACTAATATGCAGATTAGTGTTTAATATGAGCCGGAAGGATCACACATTGCTATTCCAGCTGAGTAGTTTGGCTTTCTAGCATTTTTTTTTCCCCAGATGGCGCCTCAATTACGCAAATCATGCCTGGCTCATGAAGCGAAAAATTGGTTCTGGCTGTGAATGACATGAGGCATTTTTCAGAAAAGCATGCTAAATATACTCAAAATTAATGTTTTTTTTTGCTGTTGTAGTTTGAAAAACCTGTCAGGCTTGAAGATGTTCCTGTCTGTCAGTGCTCTATTGACTTGGATGTTTGGGGGCTTTTTCTCCCCTGCGTGTCGGCTGCCTCCTCTGTTCTGCTTGTGTGTCGTGTTCTTGGAAAGCTCAGACCGGCTGTGCTTGATGGCATTTATTATTTATCCTTCGCTCTAGGCGCTTACCCAATTTTATCCAGTGGACATATTTAGTTTGGATGGCTAGATTGAGTCCTTATGGAAATGTACACACATTTCAGTATGTCTTTAAAAATGTGTCTAAGGTAGAGGACACAAAGTGGATATTTATTCTGAAAAAAACAGATATAAAGTCAAAATGGCCACTAAGTACAAATGATTGTTTTTTTCATTTTGTATGATATTTATAAGGAGATTAAATAGGCAAAGGGGACTTCTATTAAGAAGACCTGGTAGATGGTAGACCACCAACTGTCACCATCAGATAAACTGTACTTAAAGCTATCATCTCTGAGAGATAGGAAGACATCAGGTTCCACACTTATTTCAGATATAAAAATGTCCAGTTTTTGTCCATCGTTCCACTATGAGAAGACATCTCTACACTATGGGTCCGAAAGTCGTGTAGCTCTTGAGAAGCTGTTGCTGAGAAGAAGTAATAGACAGAAAAAGAAAAAAAGGCAAATCATGCAAAGAATCTGCTGCTCTTCTCAAAACAATGAACTATACAAATTGTCCAGACCTCAATGTTTTTGAATGTGTTTAGGATTACTTGGATTGTGATAATCAGAAAATACAACCAACTTCCAAGACTGAACTTTTTGAGGTGTGGATAAATATCCCTATAACTAATGGAAGCTGCAAAGGTAAAGGGTGGACATTTTTAGTTGTTTAGGCTTCTGTGTTATTTTAAATATTTTTTGCTTTTTTTTCAGCAAAAAAATGAATAACTTGTTCTTAATGGCCATTTTGACTGGAAATAATCTAAATTACATGTGACCTCTGACTATTGCACAGTACTGTACAGGTAATGAAATACATTTCTAGTATGATCTTTTGATAAACTGCAGTCACTGGGCAACTTCATATCAAATAATATGACAAATATTAGATGAACAGAGCTGTAGATGACTCCCAAATGACTGAGAGAGCTGCATAGCATTGAGGAGGATGTTATAATAAAATATCCAGAATGCGTCGTATTTCTCCTGTAGTGATCAAATATAAAGGTGGATACTTTGACAACTATGAGCCTGTTTACATCTTGCATTAACATGCGTTTTGTGTCTGAATGATATCTTTATAAACTTCGGTAAGATTTCACTAAAATATGTCCCCAGTGTGGCCAGGTGAGATCTGATTGTACTTTCCCTGTGTAAAAAGCACATCAGCACACGTTGTTTGTGTTTACATTCGTTTACTTTCTTCTCCTGTTAGGATACAAAGTGGTTTAATCGCTCATCTTGTTTATTCTCACACCTGCTATTCAATGCTGGGCAGACACATTTCCACTCACATAATTGTGTATGGAAAACGCGTTCTGTTTACATTTGTGTTTAATAGGGTCAAGATCTGTCTCTGACCACCTCAGAATGTGGTTTAAGTAATCCAATCTGATCAATACAGTCTGTCCTGGCTTTTCATGCAGTCAAGTGAAATCCAAAAGTGATCTGGTCACTAAAAAACGTGTTAATGCAAAGTATACATTTTGGTGTCTGATTTATGTCTTTAAAATCTATATTGTATAAAATAAAAATCATTAATATGACAAGTGACTTCAAACTTTTGAGCGGCAGTCCTCATCCAAGAGCGCTCAGAGCCATAAATTATGAAAAACAAATCCTTGGCTGCAGCATGATGTGTGTCCTTGGGAAGTCCACGGTCATTGCAGCTTTGCTTCAAACATCCAGGCATACTTATTAGCCTGGGCTGGAATACAGAACAGTTTCTTCAACAGTTCATTCTGAAGAAGAGCGTGAAGCTGCATGGCTAATCCAATCACTGCAAGCTATTAGCATGAGCTTTTCTCTGGTGGTGTGGGCTGTAAACGCTTATTATAAGCCCATTGGTCAAATTACTAAACGACCCACACGCCATGAAGTACAAGCTGCTAGGGCTCCACAGTATATCACTAGTTAATTTGTTACTTTTGCAGTACTGATTATTATAGAAGCCTGCAATATGCAAATGAGCCCTGCAATATGCAGATTGTTTTTGCATTAATCAGTTGCAAATGAGCGTTTCTATTGGTGTTCACATAATCTAGCAAAAGTCAGTTGTTTTGGTCAAAGTAATAATTTAATTGTGTCATAATGCATCTTTAACATATCGGACAGATGTTCAGATTTGCCACAATGACGCTTAAGCGCGCACACGCAGTGTGTGACAGAACTGTACCCAGCATAGAACTGGCATTAAACACTTTTTCTCTCAGCTTGATGCTTCCTAGGCCTCTCACTGCGACTCCCTGCTGAAGCAGTCTGGGAGTTGTACAATGGGCTTGCAAATAAAGTTGACTCGCTCAATACTTCATAACACCCAACCATCCACCGTTCTTTTTCTTCTTTGGCTGCCCCTGCTGGTTTGGTTTCATAACGGAATGACCTTCTCTGGAGTTAGACTTCAGGGTAGGGAGAAGGCTTTCTTATCAGTCTCGCCTTCTGAGCTCTTGTTTGTTGAATATGATTAGCGCTCTTTGAGCAGTTGCGGAATAATAGGCTCCTCACGTGGCTGAGTGGCAGCTGAGGGTGCTGCAGAGAAGAGGCATATGAGACGTACTATATGATGAATGTACTCCAGCGTGAGGGTAGCAAGAAGATGAACAAATAACTGCCTGCGTTTTTGCAGTTTTTCATATCCTTAACTATAGATCTGTAACTTTCTTCTCAATCTTAATACATCTTTCCAATTTTTGATACTGAGACCTCAAATAAGGTACAGCTTTGTTGTTAGGGCCTACTTGCACATCTTATCCATTGAAAGGCTTTTTAGGGAACCACAAGTGGCTCGTTTGTGCCATCACTCTAAAAATACCCTTTTGGTGCCTTTAAGACTTCAAATGAGGTACAGCTATTCTTTGACCTGTGTTTTGTTGACCATTTCAGCCAGAAAATTATCACCACAACGTTGTTTCCTCTCATACTTTGGTGTCATTTCAGAGATGATTATGTATCCTTTCTATGCCTACTCTCCTAAAAGTTAAGGTGCCAAAAGGGTTTTTTGGAGCAATGCCATAGATTAACCACTTTTGATTCGCTAAAGAAGTGGTTCTCAAACCAGTCCTCAGGACCCCCAACTTGGCCTGTGTACAGCAGTGGATAGTTCTTCAAAGAATCAACTTTTGTAAATATGTGCAGGTGTGAAGAACCTTTTAAATGTCTAAAGAGCCTCCACATTATGTAAAGGTCCAAGGGAAAAGCCTTTAAATAATATAGAACTTTTACGTTTCATGGAGAGACACAGCTCATCTATTGAAAGGTTGTTTAGTAAAATGTGTGTGTGTGTAAAACGAGGTACCCCTGGTCTTTGATTGTATGTTGAAATACAGAAAATCATAATCGCAGTGTTGTTTCCCTCATATTGTGATGTGGGAAAGTACTACAGGTAACATAAGGTCACTTCACCCTTGTTCTGCTGTTTTGAAAATCAAATAAAAACAACCACGGTGTTACAGTGCTATAGTGTTGGCAGAAAAGAAGTTGTAAGGTGGTCCATATTGAATCTGGTACACTCTGATGAGCAATTCTGCGAGCAGCAGTTGAACTGCATCCCCTGAATTACAGTCAGGACGGTGGATAAAGATGAGCTTCTGGCCCATAGAACTGCCCTAATTTCAAATGTGTCGCTATTGTACTGTGGCCCTATAGCTGCCAGAGTTACCTCTGTGTGCTGATGATAAGTGCTCTCCACCCTGCAGGCCAGAGCCCCACCCGCGGGGAGCTGCCCAGCCATCCGACTCCACTCTGCAGGAGCAAGAGGAGGAGATCCTGGGCTCTGACGATGAGGAACAGGAGGACCCCAATGACTACTGCAAGGGTGAGAGCTGTGATAATGAACGCTGTAAAGAAACCAAGAATCTGTGTTCCTATATGAAAAAAATTGTGATTGATACCAATTTTAAGAATGTAAATATTCTGATAATCAAAATTATCAGCTGTTGTAATTTTATAGTGAAAAATTAAAGGGGAACAGTCATGTGCTGTTATGCCAGAGTTTAAAAAAAAAAAAGCTTCACTTTCACATTTTCTGTTGATAGCACTGGAATATGAAACATTCGGTTGTGAAATTTAACCAAAGTTCTGAGGAGGTGACCGAAGAAAGACAAAACAAACAGTGAGTCAGGCTAAAGCATGAGGGGAGAACACACTCTAGTCGATGAGATCAGCATGTGAAAGAGTATATTTACCTCAGGATGTTTGAAGTAGCTTAGCTGAGCTGAGATAAACACAGTTCTAGTAGCTGAAGCGTATTTGTCAGCTGTTAGAGACAGCCAACCTTCAGCTCTGGTTTACCACTTTTGTAATGTTCCTATCCATAGTGGTCACAAAAAGATTGCGCTCCAGTCTGGAATTGATGTTCAAAAAGTTCAACCTTTAAAAGCTTTGAGTGCTCGCTTTCTTTTTACATCTAATGGTGTGTTTTTATTGGAGTTTGGTTTAGTTATAAGAGAGATGCAAGAATCAAGCTATATAGTTTCTGACTGTTAAAACTTATATAGTTTCTGGAATAAAACTGTTCAATATCTTTGGAATTACAATGCAAAATGTCAGCATTTTTGTTCTGAATGTTTAAGTATTCTATTTACAGTGTGCCTGGTCCCCTTTAACACACCCCCAATTTATCGGACAAGCGATAGATTGATCAAGCCATAGTCTGGACAGACTGGACAGTTTAGATTTGTTGATATTTGCTTTGAATAAAAGAGATTTACACTGCTTTTCAGTTGAAAGACGAAAGAAGAACATAGATTTCTTTGCCTCTCTGATTTTTCACAGGCGGTTATCACCATGTGAAGATTGGTGACCTATACAACGGCCGTTACCATGTGATCCGCAAATTGGGCTGGGGTCATTTCTCCACGGTGTGGCTGGCATGGGACATCCAGTGAGTTCTGAATTGTCTTTTTCAAAACATCAAAACACTGTGTTTATACAATTTTTTTGGTGAAACTTTATTTGAAGGTGTCTACAGTCATTCATAACAGCTACATAACTTGCTCATAAAAATCCTCTGATCACATCACCTTGCTATCACTGCCTGTGGCATGTCATCATAAACATTCCTAAATGTCTGTGTGTGAGTTGCCTGACTGAAAGAAGTAATGTATGTATGAAGTTTGTAAGTTGAAACCTTCGATATTTGAGAAGTGTTTTCAGTACACTGTTGTGTTTGTGTGCTGTAGGGGAAAGCGCTTTGTTGCCATGAAGGTGGTGAAGAGTGCAGAGCACTACACTGAAACGGCGCTGGATGAAATCAAGCTGCTGCGTTCGGTGAGCTTCTACTGACACTGTCGCTTCCATGGCGACCGCTGCGATGAATCATCGTGTTAGAAGCATTCACACCGGCTGATTTCTAGAATATTTCTCTCTGTGGTTTGAATTTAATGAAATTTACCCCCCCTCCTTCTCCCTCTCATGTCCCGAAGGAGGCATTTTCCTCTGGAGAGAAAAGCTCTTAGAGAGAAAAGCTCTCTTTCTTAAACCGAAGAAAATTGCGTTTGAACCTTTCGTAACCTAAAAAAAGCTGTCTGAAATGTTTAGACCTGATTTTTGCCTTGCTGGCTTAGGTGCGAAACTCAGACCCAAATGACCCCAGCAGAGAGAAGGTGGTGCAGTTGCTAGATGACTTCAAGATTTCAGGCATCAATGGCACACGTATCCTTTTGATTCTGAGTGTGACTTTTCTGTGTTGTGTGCTTCTATTTTAAAGATCTTTTATGGATAATCTGTAGATCTGTCATAGGCATGTGCTGATATACAAAAAAATTTGGATCACTGTAACTGCCTAACTTTTTTTCACAGTTTACAATATCACAATATTTTGTTTAGGAAAAAAGCACTGCATCTTTAAAGTCAGCGTGAAACAGAAATCATAATGCGTTTTCCTTATGTGCTGTAAAGCATTTCCTAGTAAAACACAGTATCAGGGAGGGTCTCAGAGCAAGCTGAGTGTTTTATGTGAATTGACATTACAGCACTAACAATTTTTTGCATAGGATACAGTTACTCTGCTTGGGATCAGAGGTGTGTTATGCTTCATGTAGCATCCGCTTGTACAAGGCACTACTACTGCAGTATGTTGAGATCTGCCCGATTCCTCTCCCCACAGCTGTTGTACCAGGCAAAGCGCCCAGACGTGTTGCTCTTTTATGCTGGAGGAGCTTTTAATGAGGCTGCTTTGCCAGTTAATGGGAGCTGAGTTCACATTCCTCTCTCTAGTGCTCTCTCTTGTGTTCTGTACCTCTCTCTCTACTCTTGTCTTTGTGTTTGACCTTGATGGCTGCTGTCAGATGTGTGTATGGTCTTTGAAGTCCTCGGTCACCACCTGCTCAAGTGGATTATCAAGTCTAACTACCAGGGTTTGCCCTTGCCCTGTGTTAAAAGCATCATTCGGCAGGTAAAGTGCCTTTGATTTTGTCTCTCACGCTAAGATGCGCACCATGGAACTGGGGTGTACCTAAATATCTGTACCCCAGTGTAGTTTTTGGAAAAGAATGGTGCATAACAGGAAAAATTGCAGAACTTCAAATTAAGGCCATCATAGTGAACACATTAACATGTTATTATTTTTTAATGCCTTTAACGTTTTCTAGGTTTACCCTAATAATCCAGGCTAAAGCCCAGCTGCTCGCACGCTGTACATTGCCCCTTTACCTTTTCAATACCAAGTTTCAGTGATGGCTTTTTTCATAATACCAAAGTCATTTCCAGCTAATGCCATGGTGAATTTGTTTATCCCTGAAGTACATAGCATTTGAAGTATCATTTACAGGCAAATCACACCTCTGAAGCTGACCATATCAGTAATGATAGCACTGGAGGTGCCTTTGGCATGCTATGCTGGACAGTGCAGGAAAACTGGATAAATTAATGAATAGCAAACAGAAGCAAGATCAAAGTGGAAAGCATGTGGAACGTGCAGCCTCTGTTGCTCTCACTTGACATCAGTGATGAAAACTGAAAATCGTGTTCACTCTAGGGAAATCACTTGATTTTCAGGTTCATTATAATTTTATTTAAGCTTGGAAATACACTGAGGATGAAACTTCATTTTCAACATAGCTGAGTGGGAAAAAAAAGATAAAAACCGTAAAAGCCAATTGTAACGTAGATAAGAAATTGAAATAAAAATAAATTATGGTAAAAAAACAATACTGTGACAAAATAAATAAAATAATAAAAAAAGAAAAGTAAGCACAAAAAAAAAGAAAGATGAAATGAAAAACTACCTTGAGGATAAAAATAAGGTGAACATTTGATTGTTCTGCAAGGTATTCCAAGGTGCATAATGAACAGAACTAGATTTTCCAAGATTAGTAAAAACAACGAGGACTTACAGGGTGATCCAGTTGTTGGTGTGAATTTGGTATGCACCATTGTTGAAAGGCAGCATAACAGCATTCCAAACGCAGTTAATTGCAATTGATTATTTTAATGGACTCTCTTAAATACATTTGAAATTGAGACTCGCTACAAATGTTAAAAACTACAGTGTTATTAACATGATGAAGCTTTATTATTCATTTCTATCTAAAAGCACAAGAAACCTTTTGCTGGAAAAAAAGGCCTTTATAGCAGACCTAATTCTCTCCCATAGGTTTTACAAGGCCTGGACTACCTGCACACCAAGTGTAAGATCATCCACACGGACATAAAGCCAGAAAATATCTTAATGAATGTCAATGAGTCATACATCCGGAGGCTGGCGGCTGAGGCCACAGAGTGGCAGAAGTCTGGTGCTCCTCCCCCATCCGGCTCTGCAGGTGAGTCACTCTCAGGTCAGATAGCTGGAAAATTGGAGCTGCGTCAAAGTGCTTGCATTGTATGTGCCAGGAATGTCCAACTTTGTTCTTGTAGATTGAATGCCCTGCAGAGTTTGGCCCTAAAAGAAAGAAACACCTCTGTCTCCGCAAATTAAGATTAGAGTTCAATCTAAACTCTGGGGATACATGTGCAGGAGCAGGGTTGGGTATCCCTGGGTTAGTTTGCACTTGGTTCACTGAGAATGAGATCTCTGACCGTACAATTTTCATAAATTGAGCCATGGACTGCAGAATGAAGGGGCACATGGGCAGCGGACCATCCTATTTTTTAATATGAGCTAAAAACATTCACCAGCCTGTCATTATAAAAAATCCAAAGCTATTCCACACATATATTCATGATATGAATGTATTAGCCTGCCTATTCTTTTGCATGAAAATAAAGACGCTTAATGTAGGCTACCTGTATCAAACATAAAAAAAAAATACTCTGCTTTTTGAAGACTGATGGAGTTTAACTCTTTAAGGTTTGGGTTTCTTTACAGTGGTTTACACAACCTAAATAAAATGCTAAATACTGACTTGCGTAAAGGAAAGAGACATTAATGTCTCTGCCACCAAAGTTGGAGTATTTTTGCTACCTTAAGTTTTCATTTAATTGCCAGTATTATTTTCAGTTTCTGTTAGTGGTTCTTATTGCTGGTTGTTATAATTTTCTTGATGATATGAATGAATAAATGATATCTTTAGCTAGGAACTTTTCCTTTGAAGAGAATTCCAAATATTTTTTTCCCAGATGTCTGCATGATTTAGTGTTTTGATGTGAAATTGTTCATTGTAGAGAAACATACTTGGATTTCTTTACAGTGGTGGTGATGGCAACTAAATTAAACAAATTTAGCCTTTTATTCACTATATAAAATGGCTGGCGATCCTGCACATGTCTGCTGAGTTTCAATTCAGTGCTCAAAAGTTGTTTTTTGTTAGGACACATAGAGTTTTCTAATTTGTTAATGTATTATGGAAATCATATTATGGGAATCATTTCAGCTTCAGACATATAAATCAAAACTTTTGGTTCAACTACACAATGGCAGACTTTCACTCTTACAGAAAGGAAAGAGACACTAACGTCTGTCCTGCCAATATTGGAGTATTTTTGCTACCTTACTTAAGTTTTTAATTAATTGCAGTTATTTTCAGTTTCAGTTACTAGCAGTTATTGCTGGATGTTATAATTTTATTAATAATGTGTATGAATAAATGATAACTTTAGCTAGAAACGTTACAAATGACCAAGACATTAATTGTATTCAGTGAGTGTCCAAAGACCAGTTTTGAGCACTGTGTATTATTTTGATCTTGTTAAAATATTGGTAAATACAATCAGTTAAGTTTTCTTAAGGGACTATTTTGCCTTATAACACCCTGCATGTACCTTTCTGCGTAAATGTGTTTTATAAAACACATCTAACAGCAAAATTGTATCTCAGAACATTCATAAAACAACGCCTGAGGCATCAGGCAATGTATTCATAATCATTTTATGCAATAAGTTTATGTGAAGGAGCTTTTAGAGGCATTAACCACTTCAGACATCTGGTTCCGATCACTACCACTGTGAACAATTCTGACTTGGTAAGCTTCTCTAGAATGGTTTCATGACAAACGTTCTGCCTCTTAACGATTTGCATCTGAACGATTGCATAATGCAGACGTAGAAAAATAAGGGGAGTTCTCGTTTAATGCTGAAGCAAAATTGTTTTTAATCTACTCTGATCATGATTTCTCAATGCTGTGGCATTCAGTTCAAATATAATTTATTTTTAGTCTAATGACACAAATCTGTTCATATTATTCAATTATGTCATTAAGATTGCCTCGCCACCATTTTGGTAGGCAAGCTGTAACTCTGACTATGCTCTGATGTGGACACTTTAGATGCTGTCTCGAAGAGCTGTGAGGAGAGGGTTAGCTTGATTTGGTGGACTGGATCCTCATAACCAACATGCATCTGAAGTTTAGAACATTACAGTGTGTGAGAAAATTTAAAAACTAGTAAACATGGCCAAAGCTCTTAAATAATGAACACAATTAGGCTGGAGTTGACGTCTTATTCACCAGCTTATTTGAATTTTGATTGTAGCTACATTTAGCAGTCTTATACGTAGAACGAATTTTGAGAGAAGTTGGCAAATTCCTTTTTCAGGAAATGTCTTAAATTTTGCATGGAAATCTTTAATAAGTAGCTAACAAGCGCCTGTAAAAGCAAAGCTACAATCAGCCATTGAAGCTGCTGGAATGTTGAACGCGTCTCACTAGCTGATCTAATGCTACGTCCCAAACCACACTTCTATACTTTACCTATCACACTATTGTGTGCACTTATAATGGTAATGGTATAATGTTTTTTTTTACATTATAGTAAGTTTGCTAATATGCGGTTTGGGATGCAGCTGAAGTAACTCAGCAGGAAATCTCAGCTATTTAGATTTTAGCTTTCATTTTCTGTCACTAAAACAACAAATAAAAATCAAGGCAATACATGCAATGTTTTGAATAGTACATTTAAGAATGGTTTTAGAATGATTGTTCGCAAAAAAATGTTTACTGCCTTTGCTGGATGGGTTATGGTTTTGTTATCTGATGACAAACCGCCTCTGTGCTGTCGAATGAACTTAAAAGTTTCCTACCAAAATGGTGGCAGCTTAATTGTGTGATGTGAATACAATGAATAATAAGTATTTCCATAGCAATGTGAATTTAGTTCTGAATGTGTGCACACGCCCACTTGGACACTATCACAGTGCATCCAACAACAACATGAAGCTTCTTTTATACAGTGATAGTAGCACATAAACTCCAGATACACACGTTGATACATTTTACATTGACCAGCATGGGCATGTATGTATCCCTGCTACTCTAGGGTAGTCTGAGGGTTAAGGGTCAATTCTGTGCCCCTTTGCATTTAACCAGTAAGACTGCAGTTTGACTGATGCCCTGCCCCACCCACCCATCAAAAATCCTGCAGTAAATGAATTGATCAGAATGTTTCGTTCTCTGTAGTTGTGTATGTGACGTAAGATGAGCTCTACACTGTACAAACATTCCAAAAAAATTGTTTAGAAACAGTGGAAGTATTGAGTCACGTTTCAGTGATTCACTGGTGAAAGCCATCAGAACATTTTCAATTATGCAAAGTTAAAGCTGCTGCGCACATCTAAAAGAGGGAGCTGTGAGTCATTTGCTTGGCTTTAAAAATAAACCCATCCCCCAGACAAGTGCATGATGATGAATTCCCATGGTCAAAATCTCTATGGAGGGCCTCAGTGAAGCCGCCTTTGAAGTTTGCCAAGGCTGCCTCCCTACATGCTGTTCAGCATGGCAGCATGTTGTTTATCCTGGTTTCATGTTCTTTTTCTCAGTCAACATGTAACTCAATTTAAGTGTGTTTGTTTTTTTTTCCCTTTTGTTTTGCAGTAAGCACAGCTCCAGCCCCCAAACAGGTGAGTCAGACAGAGATTTCATTCATTCATTCATTCATTCATTCATTCATTTAATTCTGAGTGATGGGTTTAGAATTCTGCTAAAAGTGATACAGATACTCACACGGGAAATAATTGTGGACAAGTCATGATTTTATTATAGGATTTGATTGGGTCATGAAAAGTGAGCGTGCTGAAATGAACATGGACTCAGCAGAATCCATCTGTTTTGCGGAAAAGCCAAAGATTAAGAAAAAAAAGATTTTGTACAAAGTACATATTGATCTGCATTTTCTGTGAAATTAAATGTGATTCATTATTTGTTGAAAGCTTGAATTTAATATTTACTTATTTACTAATTTGCTTACTTTTTAAGCCATAGTTTAAGTGCAGGATAGCAGGCTAGCCTTTTAACATTTGTGTTGCTTTCGCTTTTCTTACCATTTCATAGCAAAAGCAAGAGACTTTAGGAATAATGAAGCATGGTTATTATTAAAGTAAATCCATGTATGAATGTAGTTACCTAACGTATGTGAGCAAAAGATTGTGAGTGTGTGTGCACATCGTGGCAACATCTGCCGACCTGCCTCGCAGCAACCAAACATCAAAGTTTAGAGGTGGGCAAGAGTCTTTCAGCCCTAGTCTCCTTTAACGTAATCGATGAGCAGTAATTGAACAAAAACAGCGAAGCACTTGTTACAGAAGCCAAAGGACAAGTGTTGAAGCAGATGCCCTTTGGCTTCTGTAATAAGTCTATTTTGAGTGATCCTGTTTTCTGTTCTTTTCTAAGTACAAGGGAACCTGTTGGTATTATTGACAGTACACTACAGATGCAGCCAAACAAGATTAGCTTTAAAGTACTCACTGGGGTATTACTTTAAAGCTTGCTTTTATCTTTAGCATCATGCTATGGTTTGAGTCAGTTTTGCTGTGCCACTCTCAGATGGCAAAGATGTCTAAGAACAAGAAGAAAAAGCTGAAGAAGAAGCAGAGGCGGCAGGCTGAGCTGCTGGAGAAGCGCATCCTGGACATCGAGGGACTGGAGAAGGGGAATGAAGGGGGTGAGGATGAGGAGGACGAAGAAGCAGAAACCCCTGACAGCACTCCATCAGTCCCCAACAGTCACACTCTGCAGGAAATTGCCGCCGAGGCCACCCTGGGTGAGTGTGTCCCGGGGGAAGGAGGAAGGGGGGAGAAGGAAAGAGAAGCGAGATGTCAAATGAAAGTCATGATAGGAAATAAATATTCAAGTAGTTCATACTGTTTATTAAATCTTTTGAAGTGTGAATGACACGACAGTGACATCATGAGACGTCTCACTTGGGTGATAAAAATAGTACATCATCCTCACTGCTCAGCTGAATCTGAATGAAGCTCAGCTGCAAACTCATTCAGTTTGACTAGATGCTGCTGCAACAATCTGTGACTCACCGCTGGCATGATAATGCCTCAGAATAAAAGTATGACTCATGCTGCTTTCCTGTATTAATAACTACTGAATACTTAACTTGGAATTACATCTTTATAAGTGATGGCAGTTGATCATCCATTGCATGTTTGGTATATGTCTTTAGTTTTGCACTGGAGCTACAATGTGTGGACATTACTGTTATGCTTAAAATGTTGAAAGTGCCTTCAAAATGTCAAACTAAGCAACATAAATTTTAAATTCACCATTCCAACATATGTCTGCTCATCCAGGTCTACTTCTGTCGTTTGGGCAGTTTCTTTGTAGACCTCAGCAGGTTTGCCTCCAGAAGGGCTTTGTACACTTGTGAGTTCATGATCCCACCAGTGAACACAAGCTTTTTGCAAGAAACACAATACCATTGCAAGAAAAATAGCCCCAGACTTTGACATTTCCACCTCTGTTCTACACAGTAAAGGCTGGCTATACTTTAGAGTTGATAGCTCACATCCAGTCAGCAGTGGAATAAGTAGCAATAAATGCGTATGGAACAAACTGAACCATAACATTAACAATAATGGCTAAAATATTGTGGCATTTGAGGCTATAATAGAAAATAAATCAAGTACATAATGGATTAGGTTTAGTTTTTTTTTTCTGTTTTGTAGTTTTCAGAAAGCAGTTAAAAAAACAATTAGAACTTCTATAAGTACTATTAAACACAATGGGGGGAAAAATGGAAAGCACAGATAGCTTGCTGCTACCATAACGTGGTGTTCTCCTAGAGGCACTTAGGATATTAGCATCATCGTAGCCGATAAAGGCTACATATAAAGACTACTACTTGTGATAAATATTATGCTTAGGTATTTTAAGGCTAAAGTAACACATTCTCTGTTCACTGCGTGCTTATTCCAGATTCTGTTCCAGACAGCTGGTCTCAGCATAGAGAATGTGCCATGGACGGGAACTGTAACAGTAACAGTCGAGGTCACGAGAACACAGAGACCGCCGATGTTCAGCAGCAGACGAAAGATGACACCCCCGTCAACCCTTACGACAGTGGCACAGAGGGGTCAGATTTGCAGCCTGTTAACCCTTACCCAGCATGCAACGGCACAACACCAAGCGAGCCCAGCCACCCATCCCCCGCCGCTGAGGGTAATGGACCTTTGCTTTGTGACGTGCTTGAGTCGCAGGGCCTTACGGGGCAGCAGAAACAGGAGAGGGGGGACAAAGAGGTGAAACTAAATGGCTCCGGGTGCGTTAATGGTCAGGAAGGCCCCACTTCGCAGGAGGCCCCCAAAAAGGACCTGGCCCCTACATCGGAGGCGGACCCCAGCTTGCCAGCAGGCCCAGAGCAGGAGAGTTTAAAGGACGGTCAGTGAAGAGGCCCAGTGGAGGACTCCCTTATCTTGCCCCTTTGTGCTAATTACTAACCTCCACCTCTCTCTGTGTTTTCACCTGTGGAGATTAGCATCCAGCTTTCCTAACTGTTGTTGGGTCTTGTGGGGTTTCTAACACGCTTACAGTCGCATATTTTTCTGTTTGTGATGTGGCTTGTTTTTATTTATGTAAGTTTTATTTATCCCTTTTTGTAGTGTGCTGGCAAAACCTAACAACCACAGGCAAAGCTTTTTAGTTAGTGAATCTAGACTGTTGGAAATCAACATTATTTTGCAGCAAATTATTATTGATCTTGTAATTGATAATGTATTGATATAGCGGTCAATATTCAGCTCGAATGCATCACTAAGCATTCGTCAAATTGATTCAAGATCAATGTCTTTTACCTGAGAGTCTGATTAAATGGATTAATTAGTGTCACAGTGCTGTCTCGTTATGCTGACCCCAAGGATTAGAAACGCTTCATGATCCTGCTTGAAATGGGGTTTCTAATACTTCGCTTACGCTTCTAAATAATTTAAACTAGGATCAGACCTCTAAATCATCCTGGTTCACATCCGTAATTCAACAGAAAATATGTTAACCTTTAGCACCCCAAATTTGTGCTTTGCTGGGGAAGGGTTCCGGGCCTTGTTTTCCATTTCTAAAATGCCAGACTGATGTTTCTGCAGCGTCAGTCACTGATTCCTAGAGGGCCGATGTGTCTGCTGGCTCACTACAGCGCTTTATTGATCTAAACAATTGATTGGCTTTAAATTCCCCATCCAGACTTCCACATCAGACTTACTGATTAAACGCCACACCAGCAAACACATTAGCCCTTCTACCCCCCCGTCTAGCAGTGTCTGAAGGGTAACATTGATTCTAAAGTTATCTCTGTCTCTTCCCTCCTCTCCCGTGCTTGTTTTCCTGCAGCTAAGCTTGCAGCAGGTAGCCTGCTTGTCAACCCTCTGGAACCTCTAAATGCTGACAAGATCCTGGTTAAAATCGCCGATCTGGGCAACGCCTGCTGGGTGGTGAGTAGAGTGGCCTTCATCTCAGCGGTCTTCCTTATGCTGAAAACACATACAGGTGACAAAGGGAAGGCCTTCATAAACGAGTGGGGAAACAGAGTGCAGATTAGGGCTGTACGATAATGACATAAAATGCGATGTTTGATAAAGTCTCTGAATATCATGTTGACGATATGAGAAGCAATGTGTAAACAGAAATCTAACCTTTCCTTAAAGCAAGTAGCAAAGTGCCAAATTAGAAAAGCACCATTTACTGTTGTGCAAAATAAAAAGGAACAAAAATACTACAGGCTACTTACATCAGAACTGCAAGCACATTTTTAGATGCACTGAAAGGCTGGGAAATAGTCAGCATTACCTCTACCGCTTTTTCTATAAAGGCTAAAAAGAAATAAGTATTTTTTGTAGACACACAAGAACAGATAAATATTTTTGTTTATTTGTTTATTTTTGTTTAGTTTTTAAATGTATGTTTTGACAGTAGCCATTACTGCCTCGTACACTTAAAACCCAGTACTGAGTATGAGAATAATTCTACGGTTTGATGCATTTTTACAGGCTGATAGTTCAGGATCTTTTTCTCTCTTATGATGTGTTTATCGCAGAAACTCATATTGTGATAACAATGGAAATAGGATGTATCGTGCAGCCCTAGTGCAGATAGGTGTACTGCATGATACAGCAATTATTTTGTACTATGTACTGTGGCATGTGTAAAAATCCTGAGCAGGCCCTGGAGACCCTGGAGTTTACCTCTATTTGGATCAAAATGCTTCAGTCACAAAGACTGCTAAACAGGCCAGTGTTTGAATAGGAACAGTGTCTAAAGAGACATCTGCTTTTAAATCTGTGAGTAAGACATCAGTAAATAGGGTTAGAAATTGTTGGAAAGCACATGGTGATGCAGCTCTTCCTCAGGTGAATGAGAATGTCTATGCAGGATGTGTTCAGACTGTCGGCAAGAAAAGTCTTTCCACACCTACACAAAGAGGGATGTTATAGTAGGGTTGCAGTGCATAAACCTCTCATTACTGAGATGAATGCACATTTGAGAGTTCAATAGTAAAAAAAACCCTTACACACTGTCTACAAATCACTCTACATATCAGTTTTTTTCTACACTGTCTGGGGAAAAAAGTGATATGGTCAAATGATTCATCCTTCACAATATTTTCCACAAGTGGGCGAGTATGTGTGTGGCACACACCAAGAGAGCAGTGCAGGCCCGAATGTTTGACCACTGCAGGGAGCAGGTCGGGTGGCTCTGTTGTGCTGTGGGGGGAATTTTGCTGGCATAATTTGAATCCACTTGTCCCCTTAGAGGGAAGGGTCACTACAAATCAATGCAACATTAACCTGACTGATGACATTAATCCTGTGATGAAACATCTTTGTTCTGATGGGAGTGCTCTCTTTTTGGACGATGACCCTGAAGTCACTGAATGGTTTGATGAGTATGAAAATGATCATTTGCAATGCCCTTCAGAGTCACTGTGTTGCAGCCCAACTGCACGTTGATAGGAGATTTTGGAAAGACATGTTAAATGCCTTTCTCCACCCCTTTTTCCATTTTTGAATTATTAGTTTGTTGCTTGTATATGCATTGATATGCAATTGATTTCTGAACCGATAACCAATCTGAATAACGACAACCAGTAATTAACCAATTATTGTAGAGGCCGATACCAACCCTAATAACTGATAACTTAATTTTTTGGTATTTTAAACAGGGGTCACAATATGGTGAAAATGTAATATCACAAGACATGATACACAATCTGTATTACATTATTTTGTTTCTCTGAGGTTTCATAAGGTGGGACTGACTCAATGCAACAATAAAACCAAATTACAATGATTTTTATTCAGCATTTCATATACTATGCTACACTACACTGACAGTGTCCACAATGTGCTTAGACAACATATTGTAACATAATTTGTCATGATAGTGATGCAGTATCGTCATATTGCCCACCACAATTTGAAACCAAATTCACTCTAGTTTGCAATCCATATATGAAGAGCAGTTAATGGAAGGTTAAGTTTCAAAAGAAGGTTCAGTGATTGATTTGTCATAGACATGATATACAAACACAATTCCAAAAAAGTTGGGACAGTATGTGAAATGCTTATAAAAACAGAAGGCAGTGATCAGTAAATTCTGTTTGACCTGTAATTGAAAGCAGTACAAAACACAATATATGTTTTATTTTATGAACGTCATTGTTTTTGTTAATATTCTCTAATTCCAAATTTTGATGCCAGTAATATGTTGCCAAAAAGTTGAGACTGGAGCATATGTACCACTGTTACCTCACTTTTCTTTTTAACATCACTGAGGACACAAACTAATCCAGATTTGAAAGCAGAATTTTTTGCTGTCCTTCTGTTATACAAGTCTTGAGCTGTGCAAACCCACCACTGTCAAATTTTGAATTAATGCACGTTTTCAATGGGAGACAGTTCAGTCTAGCACCTGCGCACTCTGATAACGCAGCTATTTTGCTGTAATACAGCAGAATGTGGCTTGGTGTTGTCATATTGAAACAAGCATGAGGTTCCCTGAAATATACAGTGTCTAAAAGGCAGCACATGTTCCTCCAAAAGTCAAGGGATCGAAGGTTATGGAAATTCATTTGTGGTTTTTGGCCTTTTCCTTTCCACGCAGAGATCTTTCCAGATTACCTGGATCTTTTAATGAAATACAGAAGATCTTTTGGTGAAATGCCTAAAATTCCTAGCTGAGGAACATCATTTTTAAACTGTCAGATTTTTTGCTGATGCATTTTTGGCAAAGTGGTGAGCCATGAACTCTCTTTCTTTCCTAAATGTTTTTTTTATATTCAAACATGGTTGCATCACCTGTTTAAGGTGTCTTTTGAACATTTCACAGTATTTTAAATTGCCCCTTTTCCAGCTTTTTTGGAACATGTTGCACACATCAATTTCAGATTTAACATATATTTACAAAAAACAGTGAAGTACTGTTTTAGTTCAAATACAGGTAAAAGTAGATTTATAAATCACTTCTTTCTGTTTTTATTTGCATTTATCATACTTTTCCAACTATTTTGGGATTAGAGTTGAATAAGTACATTTTTCCGTTGATCAGTGAATGTCATATTGACTGCCGCTATATATCATATATCATGTACCCCTAGCTCTACTAATTTAGAGCTGATCTAGGCTTCATTGCAGTCTCTCAGTACAGTACACATGTACCAGTGTGGTTGGGATATTGTCTGAGGTATCCTCTCTCTGTCTGTCTTTCATTCAGCACAAACATTTCACAGATGATATTCAAACACGGCAGTACCGTTCTCTGGAGGTGCTGATTGGAGCAGGTTACAGCACACCGGCAGACATCTGGAGCACTGCGTGCATGGTGAGCTCACAAGTATATAGTTAGAATAATTCAGGTGGAAATGATATGCGTCTTAACTGCTGTTAATTTCAAAGCATCTGGTTTAACACTTAGGCAACAGTATTTTAGGATTGCATTGTAATGTCCTGTTTTACAATAGGCTTGTGTTTTTTTGTTACATTTCTTACATGTTACACTTGAAGTAAGTTCAGGATTTAAGAACCCTTTAATGCCATTTATACAAGTGGTACAGCTGCATTGAGCATTCTCTGTCAAAGAACATCAGTCTACACTGAGTGGCCTGCTTAAATACTCCTACCTTGTGCCTACATTCATTGACCATTTTATTGGATACACCAACCGTACAACAGAAATGCACATTCAAAATTTTGAATCATCGTTCAAAAGTTTGGAATCACTGTTTGTAATATAATAGTCTAAATTGTGTTACAAGTATGTGTATAAAATGGTTCTATTATATTGTTGCTACTATGGAGCTCTGTAGATTTTAACTAATTAGTTGGAAGCTGTGAAAAAAAATAAAGAATGATTATCACAGCTGCAAGTCACCGAGAAAGCTGTATAGCATCAATAAAGAAGTTATGATAAAATAACATCCAGAATGTCAAAGCATTACTTTTAAATAGATAATTGTAGTATATTATATATTATTAAATAACTTCTTGATGTCTGCAAAAAACAGAAATATGAACTAAACATCTTAAAATACGCTCTGCTGTCGAGCTTACAGTATTCCTGAAGTTCTTAGCAATTATTTATACGACCACTGATTCCCAACTTTTGAACAGTAATATATTTACGCTGTGCAGGTATATGACCATAAACAGGAGCTATATAAAAATGCACTTTTAAGAGAGAATACTGTTAAGGCAAATGTGTGCTTGAGAGTGCCTGTATTTTTTCAGTGCCTGTATTTGTCAGGCTGCCGTTGACAGGATTCTCTTGCTCTCTTGGCTCCTGCCCTGCCCTGTAATGCTCCGACTCAGCACTTTTCCTTTAACAGTAAGGTCAGAGGGAGCTAAACCTCTGGCTCCATCAGCATTTCAAACCCACTCTGAAACAATAGGGTCCTACTAGCTGCACACTGTCACCTCAAGCAGGCCTTGATTTGGTGAAGGGCACCAAATCTGAACTGACCTTCAGCTTGCTGCCTACCAGCATGGGAATGTGATGATTTTAGGATGGTGGACACACAAAAAATACTCACTGGCCCAGCCTTTTATTTACATAAGTATCAAGTATTTGCTCGTAGTGTATAGAGAGACACATCTACACCTTTTCATGATTGTATGCCTTAAACACAGAATGTCTAGTTTATTAGGTGCACCTACTTTATATCGACACCCACTGGTCATTTTACCAGGTACTCCTATAATATACATTACTACGCAAAAGAGATAACCCGACATTTATATAGATTCCAGTCAAGTATGTACAAGTTATTCATTTTGCGTACTTCTGAGGAGATTAGATACAAGGTAATGTGCTTCAATGAAGTTCAAATGAAAATAAGTGTTGGGGGGTCAACTTCTAAGACTGAACATCCAAAGTAGAGGTCTTCACTCCCGCAGATTCCCATGGGACCCCCCATGCTATCTTGGGGCCCGAGACTAATTTTCAGTGTTGCGCATGGGAGCAAGCGGGAAACCAGCCCACTGTAGGCTGTAGCGGGTTTAAGCACGTATGGAGAGAAATCCTGCAAATTAGTGAATAGCCTAAGTAAAGTAGAATGATCACTAAATCATATATATAAACAATATAAAATGATAACAGAAAAACAGTTAAAATTAATGGTCATTCTAAAGAGTTGCCAAGCAAGCGATCACGCGAACTACACACAAATTCTCGTAGCTTACAGAGATGGTGGAGCGTTCAATACGACAGCCACAGCTGCCGAGCCCAGCAAAACACCAAAAATAACCTCTGTGGTTTAATTCATGCTTTGTGTTTACTGGGAATAAATGGCGCTTGGTGAAGTTACTTCACAGTGAGCCTGATGACCATGACTGCTGGGTTATTTCAGAGAATAATGTATTTGTGAATAGACTGTCAGAAATTAGATGTCAATTCGCCTTGATGGAACTGCACGGACGGGAGCGGGATATAAGGTTTTGGTTGCGGGCGGGGCAGGAAAAATGATTCAGATTTTCTGCGGGAGTCAGATGAAATCTTGCGTGCACACCTCTATTCCAAAGATCTCTTCCAAAGTTCAGTCTTAGAGGTTGGTTGCATTTTCTGCTTTTTACGATCCAAGTAATCCCAAACACATTCAGTGATGCTGAGGTCTGGACTCTGGGCTGGTCAGTCCATTGTTCTGAACACTAGCAGCTTCTTTGTTTGATTTGCAAATTTTCCTTTTCTCAGTAACCAGTTTTTAATGGCTGCACATCCTTTTCAGACTCATGACATTGAGTTGTCGTCTTACAGTGGAAGGATAGGCAGAAACACCTGTGGATTTTTTAGATCTGAAGCAAGAGTGGGGCTTGATTATCTCCTTAAAGCAAAGATAAAAGCTTAAAGTACTCCTTGTATGATGATGACAGTAGCACAGTTATTGCACAGTTATTAGATTCCAGGGCCCAATCCCATTTCACCCCTTGCCCCTACCACTTAGCCCTTAGCCCTCTGTTTTGCACGTTCACACTTAGGTGTAGGGTGTCCCAATGATGTTGCGTCAGCGGCAGTTCGAAAAGATGCGGTGGCGCTTTACAGGTCTCGGAGGAAGCCTGTCTTTGCCTTCGCCCTCCTGGTGCTGGTGATATCGTGTGACTGGGGGAGTCCTAACTAGTGGGTGGAATTGGAGATGACTAAACTGGGGAGAGAATTGGGGGACCCCCCCCCCCAAAAAAAAAAGGAATTATCTTCTAAAAATGGAATAGTTTATCCTCAGTGGCTGATTTGACTGGAAATGACTGGTTTCTGACTTTTGCACTGTATTGTAGTTGACTGGCAGTGCACATGTAAACGCACAAACAGTGTAACTGTGGCAATGTATGTGTCTCCAGGCATTTGAGTTGGCGACGGGGGATTACCTGTTTGAACCTCATTCTGGAGAGGATTACTCCAGAGACGAAGGTAATTTATCTCCCTCCACCATGTGGTCAGAGTACATATGCCTCTGTAGACAAAAAGGTGCTCCTTCATTACACTAAAACAGCTGTCTACAGCACCTGATAATGAATCCAGCTCTTGATCTTCTCCTGCGATGAAGACCCATTCACGTCCAAAGCAGAATATTCTCTTTAAATCATGGCCAACCTGGTCGTGTCCTTATTACACGTTCACAGGCTCTTGGTATTAGCTGTATTGAACATGGCTTTGATGCCCCCGTCGTCTGTCTCTGCTGTATAATAGCTGGCATCAGTAGCAGAGTGCTGTTAAATATTAAACCACATTGTGCTCATTAATTAGCACTTGGGTGAGAGTCATGCAAGTTTAATGGAAGCACTTGATGCCGAAGCTCCTCATCCACTCTAGCTTTTACACCGGTCATTAGCTTTGGGGCACACAGCAGTGAATTGGTATTGACATGATTTTTCAGCTTATCTTTTTAACAGATAACAGTTTAAGCTAATGTATATAAGCAATAATGCTTTTAAATACTGCCTCTGTCAAAACAATAGGTTGTATTTCTGAAATGGACGTTTTATAGGAGAAGAAACAAACTTTACCCTTAATATTAGTTAATGTAGCAAGATTCTATTACAGGATTACTTCTATCAGTCCATTCATAATAAGAAGTTCACAAAGTGTTAAATACAGCTGGCATTTTCAAATTACAAGTATTATGTGGTTCTGATGATTTGACCATGATGATAAACATACATACACGTATACACATAATGACGCAGTGATCTTAAATGACTTGGTCTCTCTGTCTCTGTCTGTCTCTCCCTCTCCCTCTTTCCCTTTTCATGTATTCTTTCCTGCTTCTGTCTCCTGTGCAGATCACATTGCACTGATCATTGAGCTGTTGGGAAAAGTCCCCCGTAAACTCATCATGAATGGCAAATATTCTAAGGAGTTCTTCACTAAGAAAGGTAAACTCTGTCAGTGCTCTCTTATTTTCTGCCCATGACTCACAGCTCTGATAATGGCTACTTCACCTACATGATAAGTGTTTGATGTGTTTAACAACCTTGTGTGAGTATTATAGTGTGATGAATGGATGTACATCAGTCCAGCCCACTTTTGACATTTGTATGTGTGTGCTTGTAAGAGTATGTTTTGATGTTGCCATTCAGTGTCACAGATGTGCTGGGCGATGTTGATAAAATTGTGCATCATAATATTTTTCAAATATTACAGTATCAAAAGAAAGTTTATAGATGTTTCTATTGAGTTGGTTTAAAGTCAGAGTTCAAAACACATTTTAGACTTGGAATTTAGACTAAAATCTTAAAATCTGCTTTGAGTGACCGTCTACCTTAATTTTGGTCATAAAAAGGCCATTTTAATAGTGACAATGGTAGCTCATTTGAGCATACTAGACAGTACACGACCAGCAAACAGCTTTGAGCAGTTGTACACAAATAAAATCAAAATATATATTTTATTAAAACACAGAAAATCTGTTTTAGGAGTGACAGTATCATTTATACAATTACACTGAATCATATCAGTTACCTTTTTTTTTTAATTGATATTGTATTGGCCACAAAGTTTTCATATTGGTCTGGCCCTGGTTCCTATTCACATAAGTGGTAAAGAGTGAGTTTTCTACAGTTCTCCTTCAGTTTGTATGTCTTTGTGTGTGTGTGTGTGTGTGTGTGTGTGTGTGTGTGTGTGTGTGTGTGTGTGTGTGTGTGTGTTTTGTGCATGTCTTGACTCAGGTGACCTAAGACACATCACTAAGCTGAAGCCGTGGGGGCTGCTGGACGTCCTGGTAGAGAAGTATGATTGGCCACGCGAGGAAGCTCAAAGTTTCAGCAGTTTCCTCCTGCCTATGCTGGACCTGATTCCGGAGAAAAGAGCTACTGCTGCCGAGTGCCTCCGCCACGGCTGGATCACCTCCTAGTGGCTGAAAGCCTCCAACACACACACAGGCACGCACACCCGCATACACTTATACACTTACAGTAAAGACGGGGAAGCACTCTGAAAGCTCTCTCATAGATACTCGCGCGTGATAAATACTAACAGTCTTAAGTGCCAGGTCTGCTGACGTGGCTAGTATTTAAATGTGAGGAGGTCTAATGAAGCAGATCTAATATCTATTTATTTCTCTCTTTTTGTTTGTTTTTTTTTTTACGTAATGGGTGTAACTTAAGTGAGTTAACCTTCCGTTTTGATCGTTTCGTTCTTTCTCTTCTCTGTGTGCCAACACGTGTTTAACCAGAAGATTGTTATTATTTGAGGGGTATAAGAGCCATTTAAAGGAGTACTTCAGCAGCTTTCAGCCTAATCTGTATCTGCTGCATCTGTAGCATACGGTTGCACAACAAGGCAGTCGTTTTTGATGCAGTTCCTTGTATTTAGAAAATAACAATCTTAAAATATATAATGGACACCAATGAGAAGCTGCTTCATCCCCTGCTCATTGGTTTCTACTATAAGAGTATTTGAAGTTGAGTAAACTGGTTTTCTGTTCAGGGTAAGGCACGGAAATTGCCTGTGGTAATCACATACGCTATAGATTGGGGTGGGCAGTATGGCAAAAACATATCATGATACTTTTAGACATTTTCTCAATCCATCATACACTTATATGCAAAAGTTTGAACTCCCCAGGTCAAATTACCTTTTGTTGATGTACTAAGTGAAAATAAGTGAACACATCCTCTACCGATTTCTGTTTATATGTTGCGGTTAAAGCTGTATTATGCATTAAAATTGAAAGAAGTACCATTACTGAGTCAGGAGGTGTATGTATGCTGCTGCGAATCACCCTGTAAAGCCTGAAATAGTAATGTAAAGTCAAAGGGTCATATTTCGAGCTTTTCAGTGCTTGCATGTGTCTTTACATATTAACGTCATGCACAGGCTCAAAAAGAAGGTCTGGCATGATATTTAGGCCTCAAATGCAAAATCAAGTATACTTCATTATACTGATTAAGATATGATGATGATGATGATAGTCATCTATTCACTTACATTCTCATAACTTTCAAGCTTTGAATTCGCTTTGAATACTCTCACAGCGCACTCACAATCATCAAATTCATCCGGGGAAGGGGACCAAAGCACAGCCGATGTTACAAAATGTTCTTCTGCACATTGCTGGCAATTACACATTTCTATCAGAGAGGTCTCCACATCCCCAAAGCTTACATAACACAGCTTTAACATATTTGGAAAAAATAAATTATAAAATGTGCCGTAACTTTTGGCCACATTTTTCCCCAATATGTTAAATAAACAGTATTTAAAATGGTATTCTCTGTAGAGGATGTGGTAACTTATTTTCATTTATTTTTACTGAAACTCAACAAAACATGTCATTTGACCAGTGGCAGGCAAACATTTGCATACGACTGCATGCATCACAATATTTAGTTTAAGTTGGAACATTAATGCCATTTAAAAAAAAACTTTTTTTTTTTATTAAACAGGACTAATTCCGCTTTCTCCGCATCGAAACATGCAGTTGGTGTTCTTAAAGAATCAGAAGGGTCTATCGTGACATAATGTGACGTATTTTATCTTGTTAATGATAAGTATTGTCGTACTGCCCTGCTATAGACGCAGCAGATAGAGATTATTGCAAAATGATGAAGTATTCTTTGTACAAAACAAGCTAAAATGGTAATAATCAGCCAAGTTTCGAACAGCCTTGGTGAGTTGGCAACACTGAAGGATACGGAGACATTGTGCTCTTTTTGTAGAACAGAATCGTTAACCCTCTTTAAAAAAGTTTTTTTCCGCATTCCAAGGCAGGATGCATTAGAAATCTGAATGATAAACAGCAACAGTGATGGCCCTGGGAATGACTGGACATTTCTGCGAGCTCCAAGGACCTGAACTGTTAGCGTATTGATTGATTGAACCGCTACTCAGTACAAGAAAAGATATCTGCGTGCTTCTCCTTAAAAGGAAGAAAAATAAAGAACGAAAAAATATTACAATATATTGTTGCCGTCATATCAAGAGCTTATATCTCCGAAATGGTAGCTCTATAGGAGATGAAAGAAGGAAAAACGCCCTTACATTTAATAGAACGAGAGCAATTCTGGAACATTTCTGTTGGTCCGTGTAAAGGACAGCTGTGTATAAACCGACCAGGGAAAGAAAAGTTTTTGATATGACTGGGAGGATATCAGTTGATCATTGGAAGTGTCAAGATATATTCCATATCATTGTTAATAGTGAATCACCATAATGTAAAAAAGTGAATGTCTTTCCACCATAGAGCTGGTGTGGCATCTTGAATCTTTCATCAAAACCAGAAGCAGATGAGTTTCAGAAAATATCTCGCGTTTTGTACATACTTGTACCAAAGAGTTGGCTCTCTTTCGCACACAGTGTCAGTATTGTATAGTTTTATTGATCTCGCGTTGCGTTTTCTGCTGAGGCTTTGCTGAATGGCTCCAGGCAACAACGTTGGAGTATCACATACGAAGATGCCTTGAAATCCGCTTCTCATACTGACGTTGATTTATCGTCCTGATGTTGCTTGAAGCAGGATCAGTGCTTTTTTTATGTATAAATGAAGGTAGAGAGAATATAGAGGAATTTTACTGTGAAGGGCCCTGACCTCTGCTTGCTCTTTTTGTAATAAGAAAATCTGACCTTTTGACTTTTTTCTGGTTTCCACAAGCACATGCTCTGCTCCGCTTTATCTCCTTTTCCAAAGCCGCTCTGCTTTTGATTGTTCACTGCTGAACTAAAACTGTTTCTGTAGTTATTACGAATAAAGGTTTGGAAGTCAAAAAGCACTTCTGATTATTTGTACCACCTTCCTCTTGACCCTCACAATGATTTAAAACATTGACTAGTTTCAAATGTTACCATAGTTTTGGTTTGTAAACCAAAGTTAAATTGATGGTTTAACCAAAAATCTGAACTTTATAAATTTTTGATAAGTTGGAACAGACAAAGAAAAATGTTTGTCACATAACTAAAACAGTAGTAGCAGCCATCTTAAAAGAGAATTTTGTCCATATTTATAGGTAACAATGTCATACATTTAGGCCATGTTGCATATGTGTATTTGTATTTTGCTGAAAATGTACACCATAGTTCAAAGAGGACCTATTATGCTCAACTTCACTGTTCATAATTTTATTTTTGGGCTCTACTAGAATAGTTTTACATGCATCAGTGTTCCAAAAACACATTTTTCTCATACTGTACATCTATTCACCCTCAGTCTGAAACACTCTTGTTAGAGCTCCTGTGTCTTTAAGCCCCGCCTCCCATTGTGTGCTCTGATTGGTCAGCTCGCCCACGTTTAGATTTGTCAACCGCCGGAGCGGTTCTGCCCCTACAAGTTCTGCCCGCCTTACAGTCTGCAGACAGACTCTTCTCTGTGAAGAAGCTATAAACACAGATGCGGCTATTTTTCCAGTGGCGTCAGTTCTGATGTATCAGCGTCTTCTCAACATGGCTACAAAACTGAGCAAACTCCGGGCTCCAGTAAGTGCTGTGTGTTGTGTGAGGGCGTGCGAAGCTTGCCGTGAGGCAGGCAATAAGCATTGTGTTCCGAGATCGCGTCATCTTGTAGCAAAGGAAAAAGGCTGGAATTCCAACAAGGCATTTCAGGCAGCTGAGAAAAGTAGATTCTGTGGGAGAATGTTTCTCTCTCTGGTGTGAACTTTGAGCTGTGTAGCCTTGCAGGCTGTTTACATGCAGAAAAAGCTACATAACACACTAAAGGAAAGCTAAAAGCAAAATAGGTACCCTTTAAATGTCAATAGAACATTTAACATAATCTTCAAAAATTCTTGCTGAAAATTCAATCCTGCTTGAAAAGAAATTAAACAGTCGCTGAGGACCATGATATTATCCTCTAATTACCAAGATGATTAAATTCATCATTTTTCATCCAGGCATAGAGTTAGTAGCTTTTGCTTTACTCCATTTGTTGTGCTTCACTGAAAAAATCTAAACTATTTTGGAACAGTCTAATCTGGTTAAGCCAAAACAAAAATAGCAATAATTCGGCAATAACTTTTGGCAGTAATTCTATTCGTCATATATGGAGAAAGGAGAGCTGCATACATGTTGGACTTAACACTTCATTGAAGGAAACATGAACAGAGGGTTGCACCAGGAGATACTGGGGAGAAAGTCAAGTTATCTGCCAAGAAACCGAATCTGGGGATATGATGTTTCCACAAGACGACGACCCTTAGAATACGGCCAAAATAACTCAAGACTGGTTTCTGAAAAAGGAGGTAAAGATTCTTGCACAGTTTAGCCAATATCCTGACTTGAATCCCATTGGAAAATTTCTGGAGGATTTTGAAATTTTGAGTCAAAGATTGAACCACAGTTCTGCAAAAGCAGTTTATTCTTTCCATATATGTCTCTAGGCTGTAATTGCAAACAACAGCTTTGCAATAAGTACTAGTGTTATCCATTTGTGGTGTCTGAATACTTTTTTCCCTTATCAATTTTGATTTTTCATCATATGCTTATGGTAACATATTTTACAAAGCCAAACGACATTAAGTGTGTAAATTGTAACAAAAAGTGTCTGAATGCTTCTTAGCCATTGCTGGATGAATGTAGCTGAAGCTGAGAATGATGTTATTTATTAGATGTGTTTGCAAGTTATTACTGAACAATGATTCCACACTTTTAAGTGTTAAACACAGTCCAGATATAAGAGTACTTGAATTCAGAGATTATGAAATACAAATACTTGACTTGTAAAGTGTGTTTCAAGGAGCTATTTTTCAGATTCCACAGACAATAGTAGTGGATGAGGGCCATAGTCCCAGAAGAGTTCAGCGCTTGATCAGAGTCTTCATGCTTCTTCTGAAATGAAAGAGAAGGTTCTGTATCAGTCTGGACAGTCCACACTAAAAAAAAAAGTAGTGCACTGAATTTACTTGTTACCATTAGCAGTAACTGTCATGGCACATGTCATAATGTTCAGTGCCATGATGTATTTTATTCTTGTTTAAATGAAGCATATTTGAATCAGGTAACTTGAATGCAAATTCAGAAGAAAGGCCAAAACTGCCATCTGTAGATGAATACACACATCGCAAAGAACAAATTTTTTGCGGCTCTCGTGATTAACTCTAATGTCTGAAGTTATTTGTGGTTGATTTTTAATGGCCCTGACCTTTTAATCAAGTGCAGCTGCTTATTCCAGTCTCTCAGCTGAAGCCCCTGGACACCACAGCAGCAGCAGCGCTAATTAAGTTCTTACAGTCTGCAGTTGGCGTCATATCTACAGTGCACTGCTGTGTCCCATAGGAGTGGATTACCCCGAGGGAATAAACCAGTTACTTAACTCCTTTTCTGTGCTGTCTTTATTAGGTTATTTTGGGACAATTAATGATGCGCTGAAGTTCGTTTCAAAGGGAAGGAGTTTGTCATTTGCTTGAAGTGTTCATGCTTGTTTCTGAAGGGATGCAGTGGAGTAAGCCGGGTGATGAATGTGACAAATTGCATATAACAGTTAACAGTCTTTCACCAAACCTTGTGAAAGTACTTCAGCACATTCGCTATATTGCTGGTAGGTGTGGATGACATGGCAAAAATATAATATCACAATATCCAAGTGTTTTATTTTTAAAATGTTATCAAAAACTGCAGTGATTTTTCATCAATTTCACATATTGCGTGATAGTAAATCCAGTTAAAAAGCACTAATTATGCTCTCTTTGTAATCAATTATGCAGTTCTGCCAAGTCATATGCATGATATGCTCAAAAATGCATATTGTGCTGACCTTTATCACGACAGCAATAAAATATCGTCATATTGCCCACCCCTAAATGTTGACCAGCTTAAAGCTTAATACTTACCAGTTCCTGAATTTCTCTTGTTAATTTCACTTTAATATCACACTCTTGTTGTGCTGTAACTGTGGTTCCACTGTAAACTTTCACCTTTGGTATGGTCACAGTTCTCTTGTTCAGATCTATATTGTATGTTTCTGCAACTACAAGCTCTCCCAGCAAGATTTTTAAGGGTAAATCTTCACATTTCAGTGTAATACATAGAAAATAGGGTCACACATTACAGTAGGGTCATGTTCATAAGGCTGACATAGCCTTAAACATTTACAGTTATTACAGTCGCCGTCATTTGTCATAAAGGTTGCGTTTGCCAGCTTTGATGTCAAGTTGACGTAACATATGCATCGAATTATGTCATGACATTCACTGGTGTGAAATGACAAACTTTGTTGCTCATTGTATGTCACAGTAATATCATACTGATAATATGACAGCTTACTATGTCAGGCTGGTTGAACAAAAGTGAGAATTTTCGGTGGCCTTTAGATAAAGTGAGTTTCCTTTTACCATTTATGAGATTTAGGCCATCATCATCTGATCTTACATCAGCATTATGTCACTGGGATATGTACCAACTGGCCACTTCATTAAAACCACCTCCTTGTTTCTAAACTCACTGTCCTTTTTATCAGCTCCACTTACTATACAGAGGCACTTTGTAGTTCTACAGTTACAGACTGTAGTCCATCTGTTTCTCTGTGTACTTTGTTAGCCCCCTTTCACCCTGTTCTTCAGTGGTCAGGACCCCCACAGAGCAGGTAGTATTTGGGTGGTGGATGATTCTCGGCACTGCAGTGACATTGACGTGTAAGTGTGTGTTGTGCTGGTACAAGTGGATCAGACACAGCAGTGCTGCTGGAGTTTTTAAACACCTCAGTGTCACTGCTGGACTGAGAATAGTCCACCAACCAAAAATATCCAGCCAACATTGTCCTTTGACCACTGATGAAGGATTACAGGAAGACCAACACAAACTGTGCATCAACAGATGAGCTACTGTCTCTGACTTTGCATCTACAAGCTGGACCAACAAGGTAGGAGTGTCTAAGAGTGGACAGTGAGTGGACACAGTGTTTAAAAACTCCAGCAGCACTGCTGTGTCTGGTCCACTGGTACCAGCAACACACACACACACACACCACCATCACGTCAGTGTTACTGCAGGGTAAAGAAGGGCTAATAAAATATGCAGAGAAACAGATGGACTAACAATATCATTCCACACAAAACAGTGTTGTGACAACCCAGTGTCAAAAAACAACTGTCAATTGACACCTTGACATCAGAGTGGACAAAGGCATCCTTTTAGACAAATGGTGCCTACTGAAATAGCCTTTATAAGTGTCTATGTAGGTTTGTCAGTTGTTATGACCAGCTCAAGCAGGTGTCATTTAGCCGTAAGTTAATTTATGAACATTTCAAAGTCAAGACATCAGTTTTCCTTATGTCCCACACCTGTGATTTAATTCTTCAAATGTGTAAGTTACGGAATTACAAAATCTTTTCAGTTGAAACCACATTATATTAATGCTAATTTAAAACGTAACCTGTTGATCAGTCATTTACCTCATTTTGTTACTAGAAACATGTCTGTCTCACGCTTTGAAAAGTGAATAAATAAGCCAAAGACCTCATGGACAAAGGAGAACAAAAGAGCAGGAAATGCCCCTGGATTTAAAAGTAAATGTCATTTCATATTCAGTATTTTCTGCATGATCTTACCATACAGCTTATATCTAAGGTATTTTGAATTAAACCTTTTAAAAAAAAGTTTATATTCATGTTAAATATATTCCAAGTTACCTGCCAAAGCTAATGCAGGCTATGCTCTTTGCCATTTATAGTAAAAAATCTGGACAGCCAAAACTGTCCAAAGTTGCAGAAACACCCTATGATCAGAAACTGACCAGTGATGAATGGGGTAGAGGGTGGTTAATCAATTGTGCTTAACACTCTGTACTTGAACACCTGAATAGATCATTCTACCAAACTGGTTCAAAACACATTTGGACTTTTAACCGACTTGGACTTCAGACTAAAATCCCTCTGCTGTGAGCGAACTTGTACCTTAATTACGTTTCAGTAGTGACTATTTCAGCCAGTACTAGCAAACGCATAAAATCATAGTTTTTATTAAACCACAAAAAAGTGTATTTAATTGCAAAAAATGTGTTTCAGTAGTGACAATTCTTAATGTTACACAGTGATTTTCAGACTTTGGGGCACATTTACTTCACAACAATGGGATCTAACTGCTCACCATGTGGTCATGAGGGACAGGGATGCAGTCTCACTTCCTGCTCCAAAATGCAGGGATGTGGCTAAAGTAAGGCTCCACCTATGGATTAAAACTTAATAGTGGCATGAAACTGTGAGGCAGCATTTTCTGAATAAAGTTTTTTAAATGTAAAAATTAAGCTCATAGTTTTTCCTAATCTTTTAACTTCACTTTAAAAGAAATCTAAGAGATATTTAAAAAAAAAAAAAAATTAGGCATTATATTCACTGGTTGAAATTTAGAGGCTAGGGTTTGGGACTAACACCTCCAAACAGAAAGTACCCTAAAAATGATGATTTTGTATATATTTAGTTCATTACCTTCTCAGTTAGTATCTCAGCTTTAAATAGATCATACCACAATCTTTGTAAACATATAAGGTCTGAACACTTTTTTTTTCCTAATTATTTTGTTTATTTATTTTAACCACAGGACTGCAGTTTGAGCTATTTCAGTAGAATGGTCCATATAGTGGTGCTGTGATATAAGTGGACCTAAAAGCATAGATAATGATGGATAATGAGTGGAAGTACAAAGTAGGTAAGGTACGTTCTGTACAACACATTATTCTAATTACCTTTCTTCTCCTCCACCTGGAAGTCTTCTGGCAGCAGTTTGTCCTGCCGGTTGCCCAGTACAAAGGCCAGGAAGGACAGGATGAGCGAGTCCATGATGCTGATGATGGCCAGGATGTAGGCCCAGCGCACCGTGCAGTTACCCAGTGTGTATTTATCTGTGCGTTGGCCACACATCCGCTTGACCTCTTCAGAGTCCCAGCCATCTGGGTAGATCATACAGCCTATGACCATACAGGTGGCTGGACAGTGGAAAAAGAAGCAGATTGTTTTATGAACACAGAGAAGCTAAACTATATGTTCAAAAGTATCCAGGCAACCTACTTGTCCAATATCTCTCAACATGTGGTTGAAGAGGCTTTTCCTGTATTTTATTTTGTTCCCTGAGTTTGACTTATGGTGTTTGTATGGTTTAATGTACTAAAAATAATGACCATATCCATTGTCTCTTTATCCCTTAGGATTGAACTGGCAGCTTTTGTTTCCGTGTCTTTGAAGCTAAGTTGTAAAAGGCCTCTGTTCTGATTGGCTGCCCTGTATTGTGCCTCACCCAAAAAGCACTCCAGGCTGAAACACTCCTTATAACTTCACCGTGGGCAGTGGGCAGGGCTATACTGCTGTATGCTGAATAGGTGGATATATGCAAATGCCCTTGTTTTTGTGACAACACTAATTGTTTTTGCAACTTAGTTTCCATATATGGACTGAATGGACTAGGGGATAAATGGTATGTTTTGAAATGTTAACAATGTTTATATACAACCCCATTTCCAAAAAAGTTGGGACACTGCAAAATATGAATAAAAATAGAATGCAATGATATGCAGATCATGTAAACTCTATATTTAATTGAAAATAGTACAAAGGCAACATATCAAATGCTGAAAAATATATACCCATTTTGAATTTACCACCAGCAAAACGTTCCAACAACGTTGGACAGAGTCATGTTTACCACTGTGTTGCATCACTCTGTAAGCGTTTGGGAATTGAGGAGACCAACTGCTGTAGTTTTGAAAGTGAAACGTTTTCCCATTCTTGCTTCATATAGGATTTCAGCTGCTCAGTAGTTCAGGGTCTCCTTTGTCGTATTTTTCGTTTCATAATGCGGGAAATGTCATCAATGGGTGACCGATCTGGACTGCAGGCAGGCCAGTTTAGCACCTGGACTCTTCTATTATGGAGCCAAGCTTGTAGTACATGCAGAATGTGGTTTGACATTGTCTTGCTTAAATAAGCAAGGAGTCCCTGAAAAAGACGTCATCTGGATGGCAGCATATGTTGGCAAAACCTGTATATATCATTCTGCATTAATGATGCCTTTACAGTGCAAGTCACCCATGCCATGTGCACTAACGCACCCCCATACCATCACGGATGCTAGATTGTGTCCTGATAACAAGCGGGGTGGTCTTTAGCTTGGAGGACACGGTGTCCATTGTTGCCAAAAAGAATTTCAAACTTGGATTCGTATGACCATGGGACACTTTTCCACTTCGCTTCAGTCCTTAAATAAGCTTGGGCCCAGAGAAGGCAACATTTCAGGATCCTGGTTTTTGGAAGTGTTTCTGAGCCCTTGCAGTGATTTCCACTACAGAATCGTGTCTGTTTTTAATGCAGTGTTGCCTGAGGCCCCAAAGACCATGGTCATCCAGTATTAATTTTTGGCCTTGACCATTGCATACCGAGATTTCTCCAGAATCTCTGAATCTTTTAATTAGATTATGTACCGTAGATGATGAAATCCCCAAGTTCTTTGCTATTTTACATTGAGAAATCGTTGCACTATTTCCCTGGACAGTTTTTCACAGTGGTGAACCCCTCCCCATTTTTAGTTCTGAAAGACTGTCTCTCTGGGATGCTCTTTTTATACCCAATCATGTTACTGACCTGTTGCCAATTAACCACCTGTCCTAAATTTTTTGAGATGTGTTCCTGGCACCAAATTCAAAATTGGCACATATTTTTCAAAGTCTCAGTTTCAACATTTCATGTGTTGTCTTTGTACTATTGTCAATTAAATATAGGGTTTAAATGATTTGCACATCACTGCATTCTGTTTTATTTACATTTTGCACAGCATCCCAACTTTTTTGGAAACAAGGTTGCACTAAATCACAAGGTTACTTCAAAATAAGGAAGCAAAATTCAGATTTCTGTCATATGAGCCATTCAAAGTAGCTGAATCTTCTAATTAGACAAGGCATATGGACACTTTTGGACACTATACAGTATATTCCACAAGGTAAATCAAGGTATATCCAGAAATAGTCAGCCAGAAAGATTTGACACATATGCTTTAGCACAGGCATCTAAATGTACACAGGCTCAGTCCAAAAAGCAGTTTAAATTCTCCGGACACAACTCTTGGCTCAGGTCCAAGAGCATAAACCCTCGAGAACCATAAACCTGACCACATAAACAAACCTCGGCATAAACACTTCCCACATGCCCCGGCCATAAAAGACAAATGGCTTTGGTACAATCCATCACTTACGTATTATTACAGCTGTGAATTATGGCTTAACACTTTTTTTTTTAAACCAGCAACTGAAGCCCAGTGCCTCTTCTTCCCATATGAGGCAATGAAATCCTCAACCTCTAATCCTCAACATTAGCATTTAGACTCATTCTCCTTTCTCTCAACCTGATTTCACCTGTTTGCAGGTGCAACGTTTATAAAAAAAAACCCTGATTAACTGCAAATAACCGTGAGAGATGAGATGTGCTTTCACACACTGAATGCTTTGATCATATTCAAAAATACACAACTTCGCTGCTCTCAGACAGTTGCCTGGCAACTCTGGCTAGACATGCATTCACCTCAGGAAGCTGGTTGAACAGCTATCTATTATTTACGCACGCAGTGTCATACTATATCTGTTTATCAGGACGCCTGCCACAGGCTCGGGTGTTGGTTTACAGAGCGCTCTCACTTTCACTCTCACTTCTTATTAATGAGTGTACTTCATTATGTAAACATGTTACACAACACACTGCATGTGGTGGAGTTTTGTGGAATGGTGCATAGAATCCTCAGACAGTCTTAAAGGGGAATTTCACCATTTCTTAAAATTCTGCACAATTCCGTTGTTCAGGTAAAAAAAAAAATCATTCAGAGTGGTTTGATATGAAGTGGTTCAGTGTAGAGAAACTACTCAAATTTCTTTACAGTGGTGATGATAGTAATCAGGGGTCATGATGTCTCCAACACAAACACAGCCACTGTCCAACCTGCACTTCTTCTGGGTTTTCATATGTAACATTGATAATGGTAATAGAACGGCAAGCCTGAAAAAAGTTTTCTTAGGGGACTATTTTTCCTTATTATAAGTCCCTGCATGTACCTCTCCACCACGGACACACACTTGTAGATGGTTCTTCAAGGGTTCTTCAGTACAGGAAATAGTTCTGTTTAGAACCATGAGTTATGTATAAAACCATTTCATGCTTAAATGGTTCTTCGTATGGTAAAAAAGTTCTTCAGACTGATAGAGAATGTGTTGTATGTGGAAATGTTTTTGAAAATCGTTTTATCTAGCACCAAAAGGGGTTCTTCTATTGTTACAAGCTTGACATACAGAACAATAGAAGAAACTTTTTGGTGTTATATGGTTTTATGTAGAACTCATGGCTCTGAATAGAACCATCGCCTTTACTAAATACCCCTTGAAGAACCATCTTCAAGTGTGTAGATTTGAAAAAATATAAGTTTAGGCCAAAAATGTATCTCCAACCATTTCCAAGTCATTTTGGGTCGTTTCTTTTAGTCCATTCATCATGAAATTTACATACAATGTAAAAGGTAACAGGCATTTTCAGAGTATGTCAAAAACTGAAAAATGGCAAGAATGGAGATGCGAGGTTTTGTTCTGACAACAGTGATATGTAATGTAATAACAAAGTGATTCACAGTGGTTTGATGTGAATCATTCTAGAGAAACTCAACAAGTGTTTGCAGTGGTGGGGATCAGAACCATGCATGCCGGGCGCTATAAGGCAAAGTAGTTCCCAAAAAAACTCACCATCATTTCACCATTATCAACATTACACATGTTCACAACTCAGAAGACACATGTAGGTTCACCGGTGGTTTGGGATAGAAAATGAAATGCCTATATCTGTGCTGTAGACATCCTGACCCCTGGTTCCCATCACCAACCACTGTAAAAACATCCAACAACATAAGTTTCACTACAATACACCATTTCACACCAAACCACTCTGAACTACTTCGTTTATATCTGAAAGACTGAATTATGCTGAAATGTTGACAAATAAGTGAAATTCCCCATTAAAACTCAACACAATTTGAGGGAAATATCTGATGATTTAGGAAAGAAGTTTGCACAATGCTAATACGTGGCTATAAGCTTCCCTTACTAGCTACATTAACCGTGTAGCTCCAGTGCAAATCTAAAGAAGCAAACTTAAAACACCAAACTTGTGTTGACATATTTAGGATAAAGGAGAAACTGTGCAAGATTGAATTTGCTTTAATTCTGTTTTATCTCCAATTTATCATTTATTTCTGTCTTATTATCTTATATCATGTTTTTGTACACTTCATACAGCACACACTTTCCTGCTCCAGTACATCTGCTTCAAGTTATCAGCCAACAACTGAAACCTTCATAGGTTGATCCAGACCCAGCACAAAATGTTTCAATATGTTGCCAGTAGCTATTTTTCCTCTGTGGGCATCCAAGGCCTTCACTCAATTGGTAAGTGTTATATAAGTTTCCAGATTGCAGTGTTAAACCTGCGGGACCTAACCATGGTGCTGAAATCCTAAACGCCCACTCTTCTCTTTTGCTGCTGAACACTTTATTTTAGTTTTTTGGCATTCTTTCCATTTTTTTGTTCAGCCTCAAACTTTCAAGAGACACAGCAGCCCACACTGCACATCAAACTTTCATAGGAGTCTGTCTGCTTGCCAGGAGCATGAAAAGCGCAGTAGCACTTACACGACGCGAGCTGCATCCATGCACAGATCTTGTAGACGCTGCCGGCGTTGCAGAAGAAGAATAAACTGAAGCAGCCGATGGTGCCTACAATCAAAAGGAAGGAGATGCCTACAAAAAACATGGCAGTCTTGAACGCTCCAGAGGGAATGGAGCCAAAGTCCAGGGCGCTTCCTTTGCACACCAGCTCTCCAGTGATGGGGTTGCCGATGCAGTAGTGAAAGAGTCCGAAGTAGCCCGACTGAGGAGTGTCCACGCTGTCACCAATCCAATAAGGCTGGATGAAGACCACCATGGAGATGATAGCAAAGCAGATGGTGAATATGATCCAAAGGACGCCAATCGCCCTTGCGTTCCGCACATAATTGGTATGATAAATTTTGGCGGCCTCCTGGGCCGGTAGGAGTTTGGCCATTGTTGCAACAGCAAATAGATTAAAGAGCAAGTCCTAAAACAGCTTAACTACAACCTTGGCTCAGTCAGTCCATCCATCAGTTTTCTTATAAGAAAGTCCATTCCCCACTGTGCTCTTCAGTCCATGTAATTCACTGGACAGCTCACAGTGCTGAAACCCTTCCACAAAGCTGGCAACTCATTCCCCAAGAACTCTACTCTGCAGGATCTTCAGGAAAGGCAAGGCTGTGGGAATCAGACACGACTGATCCTAAAGTGATGAAGCACAGCAGCTGTTGAGCTTAGTTTCTTTATTCAAGTACGAGCTTCACTGTCCTGCTCTGAGGTCGAGGAATGACTAATTCATGGTAAACGTAGCCGAGCAACTTCAATTACAAGCTGATCTTCGTTTTATCCTCCCAGCATGAAGCCAGATGGGGAGTGAGCACTTTATGAATGCTTTAATTACAGGTTAAAAGACTCTGCAATGAAGTTCTGGCCTCTACATCATATTTTAGTGCTGGATTTAGTAGAATGGCAATGGAAATTACTACCAGACAATTACACAGAATGATTATACATAAAAATGTTCATACTGCAATAGAGTTATATTACCCTATTATACTTTTTACATGTTCATATTCCAAATGTAGGGGTGATGGTAGTCTTTTATTTCTAATGGAAGTTTCTCCCTCTGGATCAATTCTTCATATTCAGAGATGACATTAAAGTTTCAAAGAATCTGCTTAGCCTGGACTGTAACCCAAAATATAAAAACCTTCTGCTAATTACATAAACTATTGCATGCATTGTCTGGCCTTCATTATGCATTCAGCTGAGATACTCTGAACGCTATTGAAAGTCTTTTCAGTGCATGACTAATGTGTGTCACAGAAAAACAACCCTAAACATTAAAGTGTCAGATAATTATGTTACATTTCATTCTTCACTTCAAGTATGTTGGAGTGCACAGTAGGCTGCATCAAAGCCGTGACCAACGCGCCCCGCTGCTATGGCAATTGCTGAATATGATTCAGATCCAACTGTAGGCTTGCAAATATGAGGGGTGGTACTTTTAAGGGTACTTTTTTGGTGTTGTGTGATGCGGCAACTAATGAGTGGTACTTTATATGTACTCTGCTTGGTTTTCCCAAAATGTATATATATAATAAGTACAGTAACAAAATACAATGGGCACTTTCCATGAATAGAGTTCTTATTTTTATTTCTGTGAAAAGTGAAGGGATCTGTTCTTTAATTTAAAATAAATAAAATTAACATTTAATCGATCAGAAATGACAGTTGGACTATGAATGATCATAGAAGAACAGCAGGCATTACGAGAAATAAATCTACAAAGCAACAAGAAAAAGGGGATGTGTATGAAATAGCATAAAAGAAGGCTGTTACCATGAAATGCTTTGTGAATTAAAAAAATTTTGTCCCAGTAGTGCTCAACATTCAAAGTCCTAATGCTTTTATACAACAGCTTTTGCAAACTACAGCAGGTGAGCCATGGTTTTAAAAACATAATGTTGTGCTAAAAGATACAGTAAAATAGGTAAAGAAATATATACTAAGATTATGAAGAACAACACTGTATTCATTACTATAAATAAAAGTACCTGGGACAAGCTGTAAGGCCTTATCAGTCGAGCACCAGAAGCAGCAGATGGATGGCTGTAGGAAGAGGACACATTTAGTCAGTTTAAAATACTAACTTTAATAACTGAAACAGATACAGGCATATTTATGTAGATTAAATGCATTTCTATAAGCATACAAGCCTCGCAAATCCAGTAAAGGCAGTGCTTCCAAACCTGAGAAATACCTGTTTATGCAGACAGGGCTGGTTTCCTGGCCTCTCCTTGTAAGCCAGGAGCTAACAGTTGCTTCCATCCCTGAAAGATGCTCTTGGTAGATGAAGGACATGCAGGTGACTGCAAGGAGAGAAGAAGCAGTGACAATCATGACAGAGTGAAATAAGATTTCAGAAACATTATTCTGGCTGAACCTCTAGTTAGTGATGCAGTGATTTCTTGTACTAACGGCAATTGTTTTTATTCCGTTTACTATACATAAATTAATATTCTCATGAAGTGGACGCTCAAACTCCAGTTTATACAACTATACGGCAGAAAATAACCAAGTTAGCGCTCAGTGAGGATAACTAATGAAGGAGAATTTTAAAATTCCTGAATAATTCACTCCATGAGATGTAGACATGTGGCTGCAGAGTCATTCAGAGTGATTTGATATGAAATGGTTCATTGTAGGGAAATGTGCTGACTCAGATTTCTTTATAGTGGTGGTGATGGGAACCAGGGGTCGCCATGTGCGCCACAAAAAAAAATAGCCCAAAACCACCTGTGAACCTATACGTGTGTTTTGTGTAATGATGATGAGGGTGCATGTACTCATCTGCCATAAAGGTATTAAAATGAATTGATTAAAATACATTAAGTCAAAACTTTATCACAAAACTACCATAAACAATGTTTCAGTCATCACGCAGCAAAGTGCAAGTGAAGCACCAAACCTGGTCTGTGATGTGAAGCCATAAGCTTGCTAGCCATCAAGCTAACAACCCCACATATCACAAAACCTGATTAGTTTCTGATTTTTGGACACTCCATTCACTCGACTTCACTCACTCAAATTTTATGTTCGTATTTTGAAACTTAAAACATTTTTCTACTCAGTTGGTAAAGTGATCTTTTCTTCATGCTATAGAATATCTGAATCTTCAAGATACTATTCAATTGAAAATGCTTAGATTCGTTTTTTTACTCAAAATATTCAACAGTTGCAGCCCTACATCTGACTATTCCTCTAATCTCTCAAACCCAAAACACAACAGAACACATACACTCATATGCAAAAGTTGGTGTCGCCCTGGCCGAGTGACATTTTGTTGCTTTCCTTTCAAATAAATCTCCTGCACATAAAAAGCATTAAATACATACTGAAAAACAATAAATAAAAAGGAAGAAGTTACCAGATTACACGTTACTGTTTTTTTAGGATTCTGTTTCTTCTGTTTATAGTTATTTGTTGTTTTATAGTGTAGTATTGTTGGCCTATTATCACTTTGACAAACATAAAGAGACAAATGGAAGTGTTTATTAATGTTGTTTATTGATGTTTTAAATGAAAAGCATACATTCTGGTTCTTCACTCTCTCCCTTTACAACACCAAAGTCTTTTCCAGAAGCTCATCTTCTCTTTGCTTTTCACTGTCGTGTCCTTCGAGGCCTCCTTTCTCCTTTTCTCCTCAGCCTTCTTTTGCATTTTAAGCGCCTTGGCCTTCTTCTTTTGGATCTTCTTCCATTCTTGTCTTTCTTCCTTGCTCATGCTCTCACTCGGGACTCGACTCACGTGGTTTTGCAGCTCTTGCATCAGCCTGTGTTTCTGGATGACCACCAGAGGAACCGCTGATAGGATCCTGTCCTCGCTCTCCTTAATCACAGCTACCGGATCTCTGATCATCTCCCGTTCGCGCTCCAGCTCTTCCATCTTCTGCTTCATAATGGCCTTGTATTTGACGTTCACCTCCAGGTTTTTAGAGCGGAGCTCATCCGATATCTTCCAGATCTTCTCCACCTGCCTCTTTTCTGCTTCCCACATCTTTCTCATCTCCTCAATCTCTTCATCTTTCATCAGGAGCTCACCCTGTAGCTGCTCATTCACCTCTAAGAGGTCCTGGATGCGCTTCTTCATCTGGGCTTCTAGATGTTCTTTCTCCACTGCCTCAGCAGCTTCTCTCGTCTTTTCTGTCCTCTCCACTCCTCCCTCTCTGTCCTTCAACCTTTTGGCTCTCTCTCTGGACGCTCCTTCCATCTTTCTGGCTTGGCCCAACTGCCAGTCCTTTGTCTTGAGTTCAGCACCAAGTTTCTCCACGCGCAACACCAGGCAGGCCTCTTTGACCGTCCACTGTCCTCGTTCCACCTTTCTAATTCTTTCTGCCTGCTCTCTTTCTTTCTGTCTGTCCATCCTCTCAGTCACCAGCAGATGGTTCAGGTGCTTTACGTGATCCTGAAGCCTCTTCCATGCCGCTTGGATTCTGTCTTCATCAAGACAAGAGATCTTGTAATCCAAGTACTCTATGTCGGTTTTTATGTTCTCTACATAATCACCTTCCATTTTTATTTTAGTGCAAAATTTACTGCAACTGTACGAGAGACACTGACCTTCCACTACGATGCAAAGTTCAGAAGTGAAGAATTGAGCTTCTGCGGGCCTATTTATAGATTTTAATGGATGACGTCACAAACGATCGTGATGACGCAATTCACTTGACGTCATAGAGTTGTCCTACCCAATCATTCTGCAGCAAACCCCAACGTTCTAATGCCTGCAGGTTCCTATCAATAGTATTCCGATGACGTCACAATCGCGCTGCCACCAATTTGGTTGTCCACTTAGCGGTGCTGTGGCGGTTTATAATGAGATAACAAAGCCATAACCGATCCAGCAAAGGCAGTAAAACACATTTTTGAAAGACTTTTTAAATGTGTAAAGCACATTAAGCAGCGTATTTGAGTGAACTGACTTGATTTCACTCGATTTGTGTTTGTGCTGATGACAAACGAAAGCTAAAGTCTGAGCTGACATTTCCCGCTGCTATATTATTTTCGTGTTCCAAACCGCACACTAGCACACTAAATAGTATACAAAAACAGCACATATATCATCAGAAGTGCATTCAGTAGTGTAGTAGGTGAAGTACAGAAGTGTGTGGTTTGGGACGCGGCGTTAGATCAGCCAGTGAGACGCGATCAGCAGTTCCAACGGCTGATTTTAGCGTCGCTGTGCTGCACATTAACTGCTCAGTAAACATCTCTAAGCAAAAGTTTGAGGTAATTTGTTGTTCAGGATTATTTATTGACGTAAACTGATGCGTTTATGAAGTTAAATTAAGGCATTTATTGAGGTAAGCTGATGCTGGCTTCGTATTCGCCAACTTTCGAAATTCGTTTACATTTAAGGCCCCTCAGTGTCACTGCAGCACCGTTTAAGGTG